AGCAATAAAACAGTTTAATTGAACCTTCACTTGTGGATCTAGTCTTTCATGACTTTGGGTCAGTCACAGGAAGGAGACAATGGCAAACCACTTCTGAAATTTTGCCAAGAAAACACCAGGACTCAACAATGATTTGGGACTTAATAAGCAGGGTGCTTATTAAGACCACCCTATGAAGACTCACAGGACCTGTCACCCTCCCCTTAAAAGTAGAGGAGATTTTTCATGAAAATAAATGACCCCTACTTGCACAACTGGAGAAAGAAAGGAAAAATCTAACAGGGCAACGAGTGCTTATGGAATTGATCCACCAATCAGGAACTTAAAACACCCATTTACTAATGAGCTGGCAATTGCTATAATTTGTTTCAGGTCATCTAAGCTGCTACTGTTTTCTCTCTTTTATTCGTTGTTTGGAATTATTTTTCTCCTTTTCAGCTACCATGAAAAGAGGACAAGCAGCACTGGCTTCATTTGAATTTTCTGTGGAAATATAGAAATATATATACATATATTTCTGTGTAGCTTTGTGAAAAGGTCCTGCACCCCTTACAGTTTACAGTTTACGGTTTATGACATTTTTTGGATAGACCATTGATTTTATGATATTTTATGCTATCTGCTATGCAAATATTGTTATATTTAAATAAATACTAGTGGTTTTTAAGTGAAAAGCATAAGCTTTTTGCAATTTGGTGCTGTTTGGATAGGGATTGTGAATTTTCTTGCATGCTTACAATGCATGCTTACAATGTCTATGAAAACAGATTAACTGATGCATATCCAGTGGCATATGTGTTGCAATTACTAAGGCCGATGCTAGTGTTTTGTTAACATTTTTATTGTTTTGTGGCCCTGAATAGGACTGTTTAGGTAACCAAACATGGTTACTAATATGAAATTGACCAGCTCTTATTGCTTATCACCAGGCGGCATTGCTTCAGCATAGACTGTATAAGCCTTTGCATGTGATCTTTGGTGACAATGTGGTGCCAGGCTGCAATAATGGATTCAGTCAGCTCCTGCTTGGTTTTCGGATGCTTCTTGCTTATTTTGTAACCAATCTTGGCCTACAAGTTCTCAACTGGGTTCAATTCCGGGCTCTGAGCTGGCTAATTCATGAATCGAACACCATGCTTCTTCATTCACTGCTGGACTGACTTGGCTTGATGGAAGTAAAAGTCCTTTCCTACAAGTTGCTGAGTCTGAAGCATGGTCTTTTCTAGGACTTCAACATACTGCTTGAAATTCATGATTCCCTGCACGATTTGCATCTGACCAATACCAGAAGTAGTGATACAACCCCAGATCATCCCGTGCAATGGATGCTTCACAGATAGATTCAGGCAGTACGGCCTAAATTCTTCAGCTGGAAATCTTCTGAGATACTTATTGCACTGATTCCCAGTCAAGTAGAAATTGCTCTCGTCACTGAAGATAACCTTGGCCCACTGTTCGTTGGTCCACTTGGCATACTTCTTGACCCATGCACATTGACGAGAGCGGTGAGCATCTGTGAGCAAAGGTTTACTTTGAGCACTGCAGCCTTTGAGCCCTCTGGCAAGCAGTCTGTGACACACTGTGCTTGTGCACACTTTTACATCACATGTTTCACCCCAAATTCTTGTAATTGAGGTGAGGTGAGCTTCCTATCAGCCATCAAAATGCGTTGCAGAGCCCGATCTTGCCGTTTTGTCGACTTTCTTGGTCTTCCAGAGCTGAGCTTGCCATCAACTGAACCAGTTATTTGATATTTTTCAACCACTCTGCTGACTGGTGCCATGGCGTTTCACTCTCTTGGCTATTTCTGTACAGGAGTAACCCTCTTCATGAAGCACAGTGATGCGATGCCGCTGCTCAGTACTAGTGAAAGCGAAGGCCTTCATCCTTGCCCGCAGCCAGAGCTAAATTAAATTTGTCGATGCTTTTCATGCCTATTTATAGACAGAGAGTATGACAACATTGATTGGCTCATAGATTTAGCCCCTGTGCATTTTGATTGGTCAACCCAAGCTCACTGCTGATTGGCTGCTTTCGATCCTAATATTCTTGAAAATTCAACACACACGCACACACACACACAATGTATGTATATGTGTCTGTGTATGTATGTATATATTTTAATTTTTCCATCAAGTTGTCTAATACATATATAATATCAGTTATTACACATAATTCTATAGTTTATAATTTTGTTTCATGTATCTATGATAGTAGAAACTTTCTGAAACTGTAGACATTAACACCAAATATATGTAAATGTGTCAAACTAAGTCTATGTAAATAAGGAAAAAAAAAACCCTCCAAACACCCTAATATAAATTGGAAAATAATCTGCTTCAATTTTATGATTTGAATTTATGTAGAAAATTCATTCCACTCAACCATTCAGACTGGACAATCTGATCCAGTCCACAGTATTTCCACAACAATATTAGAAACATTGGAACACATAGACATTTTTACTAGTGCAAATGCACTTTTTATACTTTTTAAACTTTGTCCTCCTCTAGAAACCAAAATCTCTAGCACGGTTTTTGATTTAGTAGTAAAACTGAAAAGGAATTTGTGACAGTGTTTAATTTCTAAAAAGAGATTTGTCAGGGGATGGGGAACTGGACAATTGCCATCCTCTTCTATAATTTTTTCCTTTTCGTATTAGTCCATGCATTTGTGAGAGAGAAAAAATAAGGCAGCTCTTAACTCACTGAAAAAAGAGAATTTATTTTACTATATTGTTGGCAAAATAATTTTGCACTTCTAGGAATCAACAGGACACCTAGAAAAGATAGATTTCTCTCAGAATTATGCTAGTATGTTTGTTGACTAGTGGCCCAGTCTCAGGCCTAGAACCTATGTTCTGGAGAATTAAAGTTTAGCTTGTATTCGGTTGCAATTTATTAACATTGTTTGGTGTTTCATGGAGTTTGGACATCGTAATATAAGCCACCCTGTAGAAGAGAAAATAAATAGCTCAGGGTTGATTCAACTGTGGAGTTCTCTAAGCTCAGAGAACAGCAAGGATTCGGTAAACTTTCCCCAAGTAGGTTAAATCTACCAATCCCTTGTCTATATTTCCTGTTGTATTCCTACCTTTGCTTTATAGTTTAGTTTGGTTAGAATACATTTCTATTTTATTTTGGGGTTTCTGAGAACTTTTTTTACATGTAAATATCTAATAATAAAATAGATATTTAAAATTTTAATATAGTTTATTAGTGGTTGTCAGACAACTTGACAGCCTCATTACCAAATTATAAAATAAAATAAAATTTATGTTATTAAAGAGCATTACTACTCCAGAACCATTATCAACTGAAAGACAGCTGATTATCCTCTGAAGGCTGTCCCAGAAAGGTAGGGCTTCAAGATTTCTATTTCTGTCTTTAAAGAGTATAAGTTGATCTCTTTTTTTCCCATTTAGCTTTTTGTCATCCTGAACTTTTCATCCAAGGAGATGAGTATTCAGAAAAGCTTTGACCCTGTCAAAATAATTGCTGGGAGGTTATTTTGTGGACAGGTGGGTGGAAGAGTAGTTAAATATCACCCTGCCAGCTAATTTAGGGAAAGGTTAATGTATATATCTGCGAACTTCCGATTTATATCAGGGCAGGAGGGTTTTTTTTTGATCTTAGATAAAATGACTCATGAATCAATTTTTCGGTATTTTTTTTAATCACACAATTGACACTCTTACACTGGACAGGCCTATAATACATAAAGCTAGGTAAAGGACTGAAGGGATCTCAAGTAAGATGCCCTTCAGGGCTCTTGTTTATTTTTGGGGAATCCCCATCATTCTGAGCTTAATTTCACAAATTATGGCACTGGGGGAAATTTAAAATGGCAATTGATAGCTAATCACAATTGATGTGAAGGCCCTAGCGGAGATCAGAGATCAAGGTACTGATGCCAAGCCAATAACAAAGTATTCTGCTACAAAAAAAAAATCTGCATTAAAGTATACATTAGCATTCCCTAATTGGTTTAATTTATAAAGTACATGTAATGAAAAAAACACACGGAAGAAAATAATTTAATTTAATTTAATATTACTCAAAATTAGCCTACAACCTAGTTATGTCCTAGAATTAGCCAAATATTAATCAAGTCCAAACTACTCAGCCTTCCAAACAAACAAAGCCATCTTCTACCACCTTCAGAAAATATATATGTAATTCATTGTAATCCTTTATGTAAATCAGCAAAAGCTTAAATAAAAACAATTGAATGCAGTTATGTTAATCAAGATTTTATTACAGCATTTTGACAAAATAAAATCTATTTCCAAGATCAGATCCAAGTGCCAAGTGTTTCAGTGCAGTCGTGATTAGCATGCTATCTATTGAACTGTGCCTACTGAATTTTGGCAATTTTCAACAGATCATGGCATTGGAGTTGATCCAAATGTGTTCAGCGTAGTTATTTTAGATTGTAGAAATGGCTACTGGTGAGAACAGATTCTTCCCTCCACATTCTTTATCTCTTTTAGGTGATGTATATTTCATTTCTGCTCCCTTCTTCCTCCCTTCCCCCATGCTTAGAAAATAGGAGAAAGAGAGACTGACATATGATGTATGTATTTGTAAATGGCAATCCATTTCAATTTCAAAGCATACATGGTCAATTGTTCTTCCATTGGGTAGAGGGTGGGATTAGCAATATCTTAAATATCTTTCTCTAAGAAAAGTCAAGTCTTTTACAAAGGCTTTCTTCTGCTGATTCGCATTGTTTTAAAATTCCAAACTGGAGACTGTTTAATTCCACAAACACACACACACATATTTTACAGTTTTATTGTGCTTCACATATCTAATATATACCAGTATAGTTTTTCCCCCCCATACTACTTAAAATGTTGACATAGCTTAAATTAATGAGGCAAAGCAGAGTATTGAAATATAATTACGCATTGAAAACTACAGGAAAGCAGATTGTTGGAAAGTTTTGATCACATTACTTTTAATTATGCACTGTATTGATCTGACCTATTTGAACAGGATCCAGAACTAGTACGCAACATCTGTCGTTGGGTGAGACAAGCTGTTCAGATTCCTTTCTTTGCCAAGCTGACACCAAATGTCACAGACATTGTGAACATTGCGAGGGCTGCCCAAGAAGGTAACAAATTCAGACATATCCGCATTTCACTCTTTCTTAAAATTTGCAACTTGATAGGTTAAAAAAGTAAAATGCTATATTTAGAAGTAGAGGATATAAGTAAATTTACTATTTCTTTTTTTCCCATATTTTTCCCATATTTCCTGAGCATAAAAATTAATTTGGAAAACATGGGTGAAACTACAAACTGAATCATACATTACCTTACTCCTTCATCTACTAATTATGCTTTTTCTTCCTTTCAGTGTTAAAAAGAGTTTGAAGTTTTTGAGTCAGTTCTCCAAAATCCCTCAATGAGCTCAATTTGTGTATAGACCCCGGTGTCTCGATAGGGTCATTTCCTTTATATTTGCCCTGCAGTCAATCGCTATTACTCCTTAGCATAGCAATAGCATTTTAGGTTTATATCCCACCCCTGAGTGCTTTACACTCTCTGGGCAGTTTACAACCTAAACATTATTTGCATATTGCCCCCATCAGTTTTACTGATCTCAGAAGGATGGAAGGAATGAGTCAATCTTGAGCCCCATTGGGATTGAACTCTGGGCTATGGTGGCCTGCAATATTGCATTCTAGCCACTGCACCACCAGAGCTCCTTGTGTACTATTATTTGTCCCAAAGTGTATTTTGGCAAGCAAATAAGTGGTCGGGATAGCTTGGTCTTCCTTGCTCCTTTCAAGCTTGCCATTTTCTCTTTTGGGGCACAGTATGTGGGCAGGTAACCCAAAGAGAGGCAGTGATGATGAGGGGTCATGATAGTGATCTGTAAGGTGAGACATGGGTCTTGGCAAGTATCCAGTTCTTCTAATTTTTAGTACCACTTTCCCTTTTTATCATTGCAGCTGCTGTTATATATAATGCTGGTATTTTACATCAATATGCTTTAATTTAATTCATTAGTTGCTACAGCTGCCTATTTCAGGAGACTCTGAGTGGAGTAGTGCCCTCAAAGCTGTAGAAATTATTTAAACCTTGATAAACTGGCAACTTGATCTAAAACAGTTAGAACAAAAAACCATACAATGGTACAATGGGGCCCCACCTATACATAACAACCACAATTAACCCCAGATCTAGAAAGAGAACTAGGTCTTAAAGGCTTTCCAGGACCCCAGGAGAATCAGTGCCAACCGAAACTTTGGGGAGATACTGTTCTAAAGGACAAGGGGCCATGATAGAGAAGGCACAATTTTCAGTCCCACATGATGGCAACATCGAATTGTTTTTCAAACGGTTCCATGGAATTCTAGGGTTTCATAAGAACTTGATGGAACTAAAGGGTATGTGAGATTAAGATGTATTATGGTTCGTCACACAATCAGCCAGATGTTCAGATTAAATTTGCCATTTTTGTCCACCTATCAAACCCTTCACAAGGACCTAGGATGGGCATATATAGATGTTTAGATGTGTTACAAATATCATTGCAGGATGTAAGATATTCTGAGTAAAGCTGCCTTTTTGGTTATTTTGTCAATGCCGATGGTGTTCAAGTGATGTTCCGGTTGTTTTGGGATTGCATCCAGGGCACCGATTACTATAGGTTCTTTGCTTTGTTTTGCCACAGTTGTTCTAGTTCTGTTTTCAGGTCCGTGTATTGCTTTGTACCTATGTAGACCTAAGTAAAAATTCCCTGTATGAATCACCAACTTAAAAAGCTGTCTAAAAATTGGATAACCTTGACAGTTTCATCCATGTTCACCAATATTTAGTCCAGAAGTGAATCTTATTAAAATTCTCTATTCCATTGGATTATCACAATCAACCTGCTCTGATGATCTCTTTCTGTTTCACTGAATTTTTATCTGTCTCACCCTGACCTTGATTAGAGAGGAAACAACATAAAGGCTTAAGTGGGAGATATTAATACAAAACTGAACATAGGGCATAGCAAAGACACAGTGAGAAGGGGGATGACTTGAAACCGGATGCCATTACATTTAGTTGGGAGGAGGAAAAGTTGACAATGGAGTTGATAAGAAGGAGGAGAAAAGAGGAACAGAAGGAAAACAAAGTAAAGGCTAAAAGATCCAGTTCTCTGTAGACTGACAAGAAAGAAAAATGGGAGCATGAATGAAGCCAGGTTAGTTAGGAGAAATATGGTCTACAACATAAGGGTAGAGTGAATAAGAATAGGACCTCCTCGCACTGTTTGTTGGTTTAATTTATACCATACATTACACCAATACTATTAGACTTAACTGCTTGCAAGGGATTAAAAAATGCTTGGGTTCCAAGAAAACATTGGAGAAAATTTGCCAGCTCTTCACTGTCCCAATTAGGGCCTGGTAATCACACATCTGTAGAGAAGAGAATCTATAGTGAGTTGATTGAAAATAGAGATGACACCTTTAGTGGTTTTAAAAATTAACAACCATTAATATAAATTACTGATCTTAACAGCCAACAATAACATTTTGCCGGTGATCTTTCTTAGAAGCTGGAGATATGTTTATTTGCTTAATCATTAGGGTCATATGTAGGGGGAAAGAAGTGTTGCATCTGTCTGTCTTCACCTTGTCAACTGTAAAAATTCTCCAGGCAGTTTCATTCATTACATATAAGAACATGTGATTATTACCACTTACAGCTAATCCTGGCCCTGTGAAAAATGTACATCAGGATTTACATTGAAGGTTTCAAATTCCCTGTGAATGTTTAAAATCATATTAACATGATGATGATGATGAAGATGATGCTTTTTTTTAATAGCCAGAAAGCTTCATCACCTAATTAGTACAATTTCTGTAACTTGCTGTGTTCACATGCTTGTTAAAACTATCACTAATTTTGTTGTAGGTCATGCAGATGGTGTTACCGCCACCAATACTGTGTCAGGGTTGATGGGACTAAAGGCAAATGGCATGCCTTGGCCTTCTGTAGGACACAGCAAAAAGACCACCTATGGCGGAGTATCAGGTAGGTCTTTCTGATTAAAAGTCCCTTCTTTGAGGCCTGGGAATCTAGCAAGTGATACCGTTAATATGACTGCATTATTGTGCCTGTTGTATTTAGTTTAGTTTTGTTGCTGGTCAGTGTTTGCTAATAATCATGACAGATGGAACAGATTGACTGTGAGCGCTTATGGGCTGCCCTTTCCTGAATGGTGAAACCCTGCAACCCAATTTTACTGATAGGGTCAACCCTGAGTAATAGAGGAAATCGCTTTTTTCTTATGACCCAACCTGCATTTTTCCTGGGATTTTTCATTCTGTTATAGTTGTCAGGGTGCATGTTAGACAGGGGCTTATCAAAGGGCACTGGGAGAATACAAACAAACATTCCCAAATGGGTAGTTTGGTGGGATTTTTAACAGGGTGCAGTCCCTACTGTAATCTGCCTTCTTAACACATTTTCATAAACACATTTCCTTGGCTACATCCCCCAAACTTCACTGATCTGATTTCCCCCCATTTTTCTCCCTTTGTCATACATATACCAAACTGATCCATAGAGTGGATTCCAGCATAGAATGTTATTTTACATCCTCTGGTGGGGCAGGGGGGGTTGGAGTTGGTAGACAATAAACGCAGAGCTTTATTTTCACTGATGGATTAATCTGTTTGACCCCATGGCCTCAGCTGCTGTGACACCATGAACCTGGGCCTGCAGAGACAATGCCCGGAGCTTCTGGACTGTAGTGGTATGGAGATTAGTCTCCTTGGAGATATAAACAGTGGTAAATATTCATAGCATAATGGTATCCTGCTGTTTGAGCAAAATGCAGCTGAATCAGGCCAAATATACATAGTGGAAACCAGACAGACAAAAGAAAACATCCTTCTTTCAAGCAATTCTATTATTCAGATAAACACTTTCCATTTTAAAAGGAGCATTTAAAATAAACACTTAAAGTACATAAAGGCAGACGTTGGGTTACTCAAACCAGTTCCTCTCCCACGCTGTGGGATGTTAGGTATGGTGGGGAGGCTGGCAGAGAAGCAGAAAGACTGACAGGGAAGGCAGAGAGAATGCACTTGCATACTCTGGGGGTTTAAGTACTTCTTGCGTTTTATTATCCCATTTCAATTTTTTTTTTTCCAGGCTGCCATGTTGACAGCAAAAGAATAAAAGAGGTCACCAAGGGTGCTGAGCATTAAAAATTAATAAAAGAACTATTGCAGTAGTATTTTATAGAAGTAACGTGATTTAGTGCTGTGTGGTTCCCCCCACCCCCCCACTTTCATTCATTTCAAGCTGCCATTTCTGAATATTCCTTTATCGCTTGGCCATCCAATAAAACTATAAAATTGCTGTATTATGAAAAGCATGTCCTCTGTGCCACAAATTTAAAGCATGTTTATAGTGCCGATTATAGTGGCACCTGAACCCTTTACCCTTTTCCATGCCTGTCCCTATTTCCATAGTAAAGCTCTATTTTCATGGTTGAAAATTCAATTCATTTACAGTATTTACAGGGGAGATATATACGCTTGCCATTTGAAAAGTCCCAGTCTGTGGGAAGTCAGGGAAATTTCTCCTCCAAAATTCAGAATAATGGCATTTTTGCACTGTAGTTTTAAGATTTTAGCATTCACACTATTAACAAATGATGTGTGGTTGGGAGGATAAAATTAACAAAGCTAGTACTAGCCAAATCACTATAAACTGTTCCGGACTAGCAGGCTCAAAAGCCTGAAACTCTGATTGGCCCGCAAATAGCAGATCGTGATTGGTCACCACAGACTGATCCAATTGGCTAGTAAACGGGCTGCCGCGATTGGCCCAGCCAAGAGCGGCAAACTCAAATCGCCTTCATTGGCTGCCTAGCCGCAGCCAGCCCTATATAAGGGGCTGCTGCGGCTGGGATTCTTCGCTCAGATCTGAAGTCACTAATAAAGAACTGTTGTTGTTATCTGAGTCTTGCCTCCGTTCTTGAACCATCCTCCCAGATCTAACACTGGCGACAAGGGTGGGATGCGGAGGCAACGAAGTCTACTGAACTCGAGCTAGCTGAAGGAGCACGTGGCTGACAGAGCGCAACAACGGCGACATGGCCAGCAGTGCTATACCACCTGCCCCATTCGATCCAGCTAGCGAGGACTGGGACTCAAATATGGACAAATGTTCCTATAGTCCAACAACCTCAAAGATGCCACGCCCAGCAAGAAATGAGCCGTTTTTCTAATGCATTGTGGACCTGCCGTTTTTAAGATGGCTAAAGCACTAGCGAAACCAGCTGAAGTTAAAACGATGGATTGGGACACCCTTGCTCCCATCCTGCGCAACCACTACGCCCCAGCAGTACCAACTCTCATTCGCAGACATGAGTTCTGTCAGAGGGACCAGCGTGAAGGTGAGAGCGTTGGGGATTTTGTGGCAGACCTGAGGAACCTGGGCGGTTTATGTGGCTTTGCCAATCTCGAAGAAGCCATGAGAGACCGAATCGTCCTTGGCCTTAGAGATCCAACTGTCCAGAGCAAGATCATGGCCAAGGGAGACATCTCACTTGCAGATTCCATAGCAGACGCCACCGCTGCTGAAGCCATTCGTAAATCAGCAGCACGGATGCGCCGAACCAGCAGGACCAACCGCCAACCCATCAACGATGCTGGGAAACCTTCAGACAAGTACACATCGACCACCCATCATGAAGATGTCGAGTCATCCTCAGACAGCGAGGAGGAAGAAGTCCACAGACTCCGGTCAGAACGTGAGCAACGGGACCAGCGGGATCGTAAATCCAACTACCAATGCGCCGGATGCGGTGGAAACCATCCTCAATCTGAATGCAGATTCTTAGACGCCATTTGTTATTTTTGCGAAAAACGAGGGCATATTGCGAAAGTATGCAGAAACAAAAGAAATTCCAGCCCCAGATGGAGAGGGAGCAGCCCGAAAAGGAATGATGGCAACCCCACCACACAGAGGGACTGCCCTAGCAACCAGTGGAACCAGTACAGCAGGCCCCGAAGGTTTAATGGCACACCCAGACGAGAAGAGGCTAATCAAACCATCACCATCGGCCACGCGTCATCGCTAGACGCAAAGAAAATCCGTGTAAAGGTCACCATCTAAAATAAACCTTGCATCATGGAAGTAGACTCTGGGTCTTCACTATCCATGGTATCCTGGAAAAGCCTCAAGCAACTGATTCCCAACATCCGACGCCAAGACCTCAGCAGTCAGAGACTCATACTGAAAGATTATCAAGGCAACCGGATTCCAGTCGCAGGTACGATTTCCAGGTCTCTTTCAAAGGACATAATGCAATTCTACCACTCACCATTGTAGACAGAGACCGAACAAGTCTATTGGGCCTTCAGTGGTTCGCGCCATTGGGAATCGGAATGGCTGACATCCATCATACTGAAGACGATGACTGGGAAGCAGCCCTTGTCCACGATTTCTGAGAAGTTTTTAGCGAAAAGTTAGGCAAGTACAAGGGGTCCCCTATTTCGTTTAATCTTCGCCCTGACATTGCGCCCATTCGCCTAAAGCCGTGCCGAGTTCCCTTTGCTCTCAAACCCAAAATTGATGAGCAACTGGACAAATTAATTGCACAAGGCGTGTTAGAGCCCATTGACCACGCCCGATGGGAGACACCAATTGTCACCCCCATAAAGCCTGATGGGTCCTTGAGAATCTGTGGTGACTACAGGGCCACCCTCAATCACGCACTGCAACAGAGCGCCTATCCGGTACCAGTCGTTCAGCATCTCCTACATTCACTTGGGGGTGGCAGAATATTCGCAAAACTAGATCTGGCCCAAGCGTATCAACAGCTGCCAGTTGATACCGAAACCGCAGAAGCCCAAACTATAGTTACACATCGTGGTGCATTCAAATGTAACAGGCTCCAGTTTGGAGTAAGCATAGCCCCAGGCATTTTTCAAAACCTGATGGAGAGACTATTACAAGGCATAAAAGGGGTCGTGCCCTATTTTGATGACGTACTGATAGCAGCCCCAACAAAAAGTCAATTAGAGAAACGCCTCAGAACAGTCCTACAAAGGTTCAAAGATGCTGGCCTCAAGGTTAAGAAGGAAAAGTGCCAGTTATGCACAGAAAGGGTGGAGTTTCTTGGCTACCTTCTTGACAAACAAGGAATCCACCCTACAGAAAAGAAATTGGCAGCTATCAAAAATGCCCCAAGACCCAAAAACAAAACTGACCTCCAAGCCTTCCTGGGACTCATTAAATTTTATAACATTTTCCTACCCCAGAAGGTGACTGTTGCTGGGCCCCTTCATAGACTACTCGATAAAAGGGCCTCCTGGATTTGGGGACGTCGGGAGGAACATGCCTTCCAGCAAGTAAAGGACCTCCTCACCTCTGATGCAGTGCTAATACAATATAACGAGACACTCCCATTGACTGTTACTTGTGATGCCTCACCGTTTGGGGTGGGGGTCATCCTGAGCCATGTCCTACCAAATGGCTCAGAAGCACCAATTGCATTTTCTTCAAGAACTTTGTCAAAAACAGAAAGAAACTATAGCCACCTAGATAAGGAAGCCCTTGCTATTGTCTCTGCGATTAAAAGGTTTCATGAATATGTATATGGGAGATCATTTTCCATTATCACGGATCATAAGCCATTACTTGGCATTCTGGTGGGCAACAAACCTACCCCACACATTCGTTCCCCCAGAATGACGCGATGGTCAGAATTTCTAGCTGCTTACGACTATCAACTAAGATATCGCCCGGGAAAATCTATTCCTCACGCTGATGCCTTGAGCCGCTCTCCACTACCTGAGCCGCAGGAAGACCCAGCTCCCACGCTCCCAATACTACAAATTGAGACAATTACCTCACCTCCACTAACGGCCCAGGACATCGCCTTCAAAACCAAAAGAGACTCATGTTTGGCACGAGTTCTTGGCTGGGTGGAGAGGGGAGGCCAGAATACGAGCCCAAGGAAACCTTTAAACCATTCAAAAACAGACAGACAGAACTTTTCTCACAAAGAGGGT